AGCCTGATCACCTGACTCCCTGACTCAGAGTCTGTTTTTTTTTTTTTTTTTTTTTAAGTTGAACAGTCGACTCTCTCCCAGGTGTTCCAGTTGCCTGTTGAAAAGGCGCTAGGATCTGTGTCATTTCCCATGTGGTGACTGACTGCGCTGGCTGAAACAGCGGTGCTGAGATTCGTGATGGTTTTTTTGCTCATGAATCTTCTGCCTGGCTCCCTGTTTCAGTTCCTTTTTAAATCAGATGAATGTGTGATCTGCCTTCCTGGGTCTCCAATTGCCAGCTAAAAGGGCACCCGTACCAGTGTATTTTGTATGGAGAACAGCTGCGCCAGGGTGCCGGCAAAGTAGCCACGCCAGCCAAAACAGCCACACTGGCTAAAATACCATGCTGGTGACCCATGGGGCTACTCCGCCTGGGAGGCTCCTGGTCTGTGGGCAGTAAAAATCCGTCTGGAATTGCAGTGTCCACTCACCCTCTGCGCTTTCACTGGGAGCTGCAATCCTGAGCTGTTCCTAGTCGGCTATCTTGGGTCCTCTCTCCTTTACCCCATTTTGAAAAGTTAGAGCAGGCGTCCCCAAACTACGGCCTGTGGGCCTCATGCGGCCCCCTGAAGCCATTTATCCAGGCCCCCGCCGCACTTCAGGAAGGGGCACCTCTTTCATTGGTGGTCAATGAGAGGAGCACAGTATGTGGCGGCCCTCCAATGGTCTGAGGGACAGTGAACTGGCCCCCTGTGTAAAAAGTTTGGGGACGCCTGAGTTAGAGCTTCCGATGACAAATCCTCTTATTTTTCTTTCGTCAAATGTCTTCATAGCCCTTCCGTTTCTAAAAGATAAATTCACCAGATACAAAAATGAGAATTGAAAGTTCTTTGATTTCATCACACAGTGTTGTGCCACTTTCTTGTGGCTGTCATGTATTTCTGATGTTTCCTGCTTCCCTTTGTATTGTTTTCCTGCCTGTAGGCAAGCCATTTCCTCTATCTGCTTTCAATATTTGTTCTTCCTTAGCAGAGCATGGTGCCTCATGCCTGTAATCCCAACATGCTGACAGAGCAAGACTCCATCTCAAACAAACAAATTTGTTCTTCCTTTTAGTTTTCAGGTATTTTACCATGATATACCTTAGTTTGGATTTTTTTGTGTTTATCTCGGTTAGTGATATACACTGAAAGTTTGTGTCCCTTCAAAATTCATGTGTAGACATCCTAAATTCAATGTGATGTTATTTGGTGGTTAGGCCTCTGGAAAATCATTAGGGTTAGATTAAGTCATGATGATGGGGGCCTCGTGGTGAGATCAGAGGCCTTCTTAAAAAAGAGAGAAAGAGAAGGAAACAAGAGATACCTCTTTCTTCTCTCCAACCTGTTCGGATACAATGAAATGAGATGATGTCCATTTACAACCATAAATTGTCTTCATCAGAACTCAACTATGCCGGCATTCTGATCATAGTCCTCCAGCCTCCAGTATTGTGAACAACAATTTCTTTTTTTTATAAACCACCCATTCTATGGTATTCTTATACAGTAGCCTAAAATGGCTAAGAAATTTTGGGTTTGCTTGAATTTAGAAATCTGTGAGTTTTTGTCCATTGCCAAATTTAAAAAGTTTTCCGTCTTAGAGATCTTTCCAAAAGTTGCCTATTTCTTCTCTCCTTCTGGGACTCTTGACAACACAAAAATTAGGCCTTTGGTTATAATATTACAAGTCCCTGAAGATGTGTTTATAGTTTTTTCCTGCTTATCTCCTTAAATTTTTTATCTGGTTATTGTAAGTTTCAGTTCTAAAATTTCCATTCATTTCTTTTATATATTTTAGTTTCTTAGCTGAGATTATTTTTTAATTTGTTTTATATGTGTTTGCAAGTAAAATACAGGAAGCATTTTTATTATGACTGCTTTAAAATCTTTTCTGAATAATTCTAACATCTTTGTCATTTTTGTTCTGGAAGCTACTAATTATCTTTTATACTCAAGTTGAGATTTTTCCTGGTTCTTGGTATACCGAATGATTTTTTACGTGAACCAGGAAATTTTAGGTATTATGAGACTCTAGAACTTATTTACCCCTTCTGTCTTAGCTGGCTTCCTCAGATACTATCCCTGCAAGGGAAGAGAGTGAGGGAGGGACACTCCATTGCTGCCAGGTGATGTAAAGGTTTCCTCTCAATCTCTGTTGACACCTAGGCAGGGGAAGGTTCCTCATTACTGCTCACTGGAGGGTGGATTCTGGCTCACCGCTAGGCCTCCACTGTTAGCCTGCCTGGGGGCAGAAGTGCCTTGTTACTGTTTCCCATGTGGTCTCCACAAGCACTACCTGGTATGGAAAAAAGGGCGCTTCTTCATTGCCGCTTTAGGAGTAAATCCAGCTCCCCATTTGCCTTCCAGTCAAGGTGGGGAGGAGAGTGAGGGGCTCATTACCACTAGTTGGGGATAAAAGTTCCAACTTCTGCTATTCTGAGCTGCTGTTCTGGAGAAGGGTTGGGACAGCTTGTCACGGTCTGGCAGGTGTAAGGATTTAAAGATCTAAGCTCTTCCCCTGAGGTAATACTACTTGGCTGCAGTAGAGTGGTTATTGTCTAAATGTTTTCTGCCTTTCTGGACTGTCTATTTCCTTGTCCTTTGGCTAAAGTTATAGGCTTTTGTTGGGAAACTTTCATCTGTGCCTGTTAGTATTTCTATGTTGATGGCATTTTTTAAGCTAAAATTCTGCCAATTATAAAGCAAAAAAGAAAACTTAGAGAGTTCATCGCTGTACAACTTCTTGCGTGCCTACCACATCTGCCTTGGTCTCTCTAGGTCTGAGTTTTCATATACTTTATACATAATGTTCAGGGTTTATAGTTGTTCTTAGTAGAAGGAATAGGGCAAATTACATTTACTTCATTTTTTGGAAGCAGAAATTGGGTTACTTTCTATAAGAAAGCAGCAGGCGAATTTCTGTGTAAATCATCTGCTTCTTCAAGAGGAACTGGGCTTTATTAACATCTGAGTAACAACTGACCCACAGGTGGCATTACTCTCTGTATAGGTAGAGAATAGGCTGAATATTAAATGTTAAGGAGCAAAATCATTGGAATTTAAATGTGGAAGGAGAGTTAGTTTTATCCATGTTTACCAGCTACTTGATGATATGCAACAATGTATTTGTTCATCAACATTCCTTCTAGATGGCCTTTTGGCTTCTTTTTGTATGGTTCTAATGCTAAAAAAGCAAGTGTTTATCAAATAATCTATTTTTTAGATAATTCATTATTAGAAGTTTGTCATAGGAAAGAAAGAAAAAAAACAGTCTTTTTAAATAAAAGAATAAATAAACTTAAATGTATTAAACTTTTATTGCTGTATATCATGAAGGATAATTTTATATACATGATGCATTTTACAAGAATTAAATCATGCAATTTTATATATATCATGTAGGGTAATTTTATATACATTCTATACGGTAATTTTATATACATGATGCATTTAATTCTTGTAGGTAGCCCTCTGCCTTCGCAAGTTTGAGCTGCTATTAACAAACTGTTTTATCTTGGGTAATTTATAAATAATACAAATGTATTTCTCATAACTCTGGAGGCCAGAAATTTGAAGATTGAGGTGGTAGCAGATTTGGGGTTGCATGAGAGCCCATTCTGAACAGACAATTCCTCCCAGCTTCTCTCTTATGAGACAGAAGTGTGAAAGAAGGAGGAACACTGAGTTCTTACACGTCAAAAGAGATGGACGAGCTCAGCAGCTTTTGGGAGCCTCTTTTTATAGGGGATGCCAGCCATGAAAGCAGAGCCCATGTGACTTAATCACTTCCCCTAAAAGACTCCATCTCTTAATATTATTGAACAGGAAATTAAGTTTGAACATAAATTTTGTAGAGACATAAACATTTAAATTATGCCATTCTGTCCCTGGTCACCCCCACAAATATATGGTCTTCTCACATACTAAGTACATTTATATCATCCCCCAAATCCCAGAAGTCTTAATTCATTCCAGCATCTACTTTAAAATCTAAATCCAAAGTCTCATCTAAATACATCAAAATCAGATATGGTGTGGCCAGTTTTCTAATATGGAACCATCCTCAACATCCTCATTCTCTTTCAACATGGCTTATTATTCTTTTAGCATAGTGTTCATTTGTTTATGTATTATTGAATAGTTTCTCTAACAGAGTATCCTGCTGTCCTATATATTTTGTTTAATGAAACTCAGAATGAATTCAGAAACTTGTTGTTTCCTGTACTTAAAAAGTTTAAATGAGTCACATGCTTTTCAATGATAAAAATTAGATATTAAAGTTTTCTGTATCCATTGACATTGGAGGTGATAATGAGAGGTGGTTAAAGATAGTTAAGTATCAAATTCTTTTGCTTGTTAGAGTTATTTTCTATTCAACTTTCCCTCAGCATTTTGAGTTAAGTTTGTCAATGTTATCTGACAATAATATAGATATTGCTGGAATTTGCACAACCGGAATAGAGTTTTACTCAAATTTTCTGTCCTTTAAAATACATTACACTGCACCCTTTATGAAATTCACTCAGGTTTTTATAATGAATGGTGAAGGACTTAGGGAGGAAGAGAACTGAGCAATGAAAAAAGAGGAGAAAAGAAAATAGTGAGTTTTATGGAGACGAGATCTAGAACCACATCTGTGTCCCTAGAAACCAAGATTAATAGTTTTGGAAATTTTAAGAATTCCCCAGTCCCTACAACTCCCTCTCATTTGTTATATATTTCTTGTTTTCTTAAAGTTACAAGAATATCAATGAAAGCTGTGAAAATAATTTTAAGAATTTGCATTTGTGCTACACAATCGAGGACAGAAAAGGAACAATGGAACTCTTTCTCCTTGGCAGCTAGTTTTATTAAGATAAAAGAGGACGGAAGATTGCTGGAAGCATCAGTGAGCAGGGGTCCCAGACGTTCTCAGGTTGTATTAATGTCCTTCAAATTCCAGACTCAGAAACACCCACAAAGAGAAGCAACAATCAGAAATTGCATGCTATTAATATTTTATTGGTATACTGAAGAAAGGGGTTGTGACTGCACTATTTCAATGTCATGGCTTTCTGAAGGAAGTTGTCTTCTTATTTTCTGAAACAAACAAACAAATTTATGCACAAGATACAATACGGCAAAAAGTATTTCATCTCTTGATGATATGACTGAAGTAAATCATTAAGTAAATTACTGAAGTAAAATTAAATTAAGTAAAATTACTGAAGTAAATTATTAAGGATTAAGAAAACATTATTTTTATGGTGTTTATGCTTTGGTTACTGTTCAAAACATTCAAGGTTATATTTGTGAAAATGATGATGGCAACTTGAGCCTATAGTAGTGAAAAACTAATACAAGCCTACTTGCCAATTAACAGTGGTTGATTGAAGAAATCATGGTACAGTCACCCAAGAGAAGAGTATACAATTGTAACAACAAAAGAAAAACATACAAATAAATCACCAAGATCTATATGTCTCTGTGAAATGGCAAAGTTATCTAAGACATGTATTATTTGAAATAAGCAAATACAGATCTGCATATAAAAAATACATTATTTGTAGAAAAAATATGCTTATATACACATAAATACTTCCAGGAAGATGTTCAAAAAATTAATGGTGGTGACTTTTGGAGAGGGGTGTGGGTAAGTAGGGTAAGATATCACTTTAAGATTTCGTTTCATACCATTCTGTTCAGTTAGATTTTTTTTCCTTGAGGATGTACTAATTTCCAAAGAAATATTTTTAAAACTAAATAAAATATAGGAGCAGCAAGTTCAAGTATCGTTTAGCAAGGACACTGGACCTGAGAGACTGGTGTAAGGCAGGACTGAGCAAGGAGTGCTGTGATGGAAATCTGAGAGAAACCTGAGACGGAGAGACCTTGGGTCTGAGCGGGCAGACTCAAGGAGGGGAGGCAGAGCACCAAAGGGAGAATGTCCCATTTCCTCATTACCAACTCATTTTTATGAGACAAGTCATCTTAAGAAAAAAACTGGGGAGGCCATTATTTCATAAGGATTCTTTGAATAGCTTGTTAAAAATACAAGGACTTGCCATCTTATTCAGGAATATCTCAATGCAAATCTTTAGAAATGGGGTCCAGGATTATGCAATTTCAACATGTTTCCAAGTTATTTGTGAACATGATAGAGCTTGAGGATGGTGACATTTAAGGCATTTAATGGAGAATGAACCGGAATCATACCTGTCATTGAATTCTAGATTACCAGAGTGGCTGGTACCGGGGAGGTCTTCTTGGTCTGTCCCCTGGGAATAATGGTGGCACTCCCTGTGGCCTTACAAGAGGAGGTAGGGGTAGAAAGTGGTGAAGGCCTCCTGGTCCTTGATGATTTTGAAAAGGAGGTGGGGGAGGATGGTGGTGATGGCCTGCTGGTCGGGGTGGTCTCTGCTGAGGACCATGATCTTGGTTTCCGCCGTCACCAGGGGGTCTAGGTAGGAGTCCTTCAGGAGGAGGTGTCTGGGGTTCCTGATCTGGGCTCCGACTTGAATCCTCTACATCTGTGTGAGTAATGCCCAAGAATGCATGAGCTGAGTGAAGAAAAACTCTCCTCTCTTTATACTTCTCTCACCTTGCCAGACAGCCCTCTTCTCCCCAAACCTGCTTCTTGACTGTCAACTTCCCTGTGCCCATAGTTTTTTTTTTTTTTTTTTTTTTTAAATGCAGCTCTCCTCTTAATCCATGTGAGAGTAATATGGAAAGTCTCATTCATTTGTTCCTGTGACAAGTATGAGTCCTTAAATTTGAAAAGAGGGGTTCTTGCATAACTTAGAGTTGCCAGAGGATGTCTCCAAGGACAGAAAAAAATAGCAAGAGGATCATAACTTTCAGTTATGTTACTGGTTATTTTTCTGATTGCTGTAATACCTTACAAACTGTGATTCCATCTCTGGGCACCTAAGCCTTATGTGGAAACTAGAGCTGATTTCCCAGGCTCCTGGAACCAATTTGAGAAATACTAAGACACAGAAGAGAAAGACAATGTGAAAGCCTGCACATGATCACTAAACAGCTGTAGCAAGTATTTGTCATCTGTAGTAACATTGCTGAGTGGGTCAACACAGAGAAAAGATAACCGTACACCGATTTTGTTTTGGTTTGTTTTGCATCAGTCTCTGAAGCCACATAACTGTGCAGGTGAACACTGGGGAAGAAAGAAGCAGTTAAGGATGGGAGGCATCAGAATGAGAACATTTCTCGTTTGTGTATCATCTCTCAGCAGTCATTTCCACCTGGGACAAAAAGGCTGCCCACTCCTGTTGTCCTCAAAGCCAGGCATGTCTGTATTCAAGTTGGTAGCCTGGCTCATGGGTCCCAGAATCAAGGATGGGAAGAACTGTCTACATATTTAGGGGCATTAACATTAATCAATGCCTGATTCCTCCCACCACCTTCCTCCCCCCAAAAATATGTTGAGAGGAAGACATTGAAAAAACTAAAAAAAAAAAAAAAAAATTCAAGTGGAAAGAAAAAGAAAAGAAATTGATCGAAGATCATTGGGATTTACCTGGTGTGGTGGAAGGCAAGTCTTCATGGATCACATCTAGGAAAAGCAGCACAGGATGAAGTGAACATTATCATACATCTTTCAGGGTTCACAGTGGTCTACAGGGAAAGGGGTTTTCTGACCATACCCTGTGCAACCCCTAAGTTACCTCATCAACCAACTTCTGTGAAGCTGCTGGAAGGGAAGGAAGATGTCATGGGAGGCAGGGGTGTTACTACCATTGAGCATCAACCATGAACTCAACATAGAAGAGTCCTTAGGATCCCTGAAACCCTAATGCTAATTTAAGCAAACTACTCTGGGTATTTTCGTGTTATATTTTCGTTCTACCCTCTTCCTTCTCTAAATATTTTGATCATATTCACATGCTTTCCCAAGAGGAGCAACCAGGAGTAAATATTTGGATGCAATCTTACACATACTGCCTGCAATATATTGAAATTTTAAATGTGAGCGGAAGAAAAATGGGAATTTGGGGACTTGATATTTCTATACCATGATGTAGAAAACCACATCTTTATTAGCCATTCCTCTCTCCCTGAAAGTACTCTGATGTGTGTTTATCTCCCTCATTGATTCTGCATCCCCTGTACAGCAAGGACACTGTCATCGCTGTCCACTGAAATTTCTGTAGGATCTTCGTAGCTGGACTTCCCTGGATCAGTCTTGCATTCTCTGCTGCATCCTTCACAGCACAGTCAGGTCTTTCTAAAAACACAAGTCTTACTTTGTCATTCCTCTAATTGAGAGCTCTATTGGGTTCCAAGAGTATATCAAATAAAGTATAAGATCTTGGCATGGAATGAGGGCACAACAGATGTCATCCTTGGAATGAGAACTCTGAAGTTCCATCCTTCTTCTCTTTCTCCTTCCTTCCTTCCTTCCTGTTCTTCCTCTGCAGTGGTTGTGGGGTGAATCCCTGAGGCCCAAGAAGAGTCACGGCCCCTCACCCAAGTCCCCACCTCCTATTCATTTTTTTTTTCTTTTTACCATTATCTGTGCTCTGAGCTGAGCTCAGAGCCAGCAGGACCACTGATAGCAGGACCAGCAGCATCTTGAAGGAGGCTCTGGAGTTGCTTCCAATTCTGCACTGAGAGAAATATGGCAGCTCCCTTTATAAACATGAGCAGAACAATGGGACCTTTGACCTCCATACTGGGTGGACCTCACTACCTGACAGATTAGATTTGCTTTCGCCTCATAAAGTTGAATGAGAGGAACTCTATGAGAGGATAACAAAACCTAATCTGTCAGGTAGTGACATTACTTTTGGGACTTTAGCCCAGCCGGATGTGGTGGTAGGGTGTGGTTAGGTACAACCTGTGACTCTTGTTACTTTTTGGGACTTTAGCCCAGCAGGATGTGGTGGTAGGATGTGGTTAGGTAACCTGAGTTAGGTACAACTCAAGCATAGTTTCTAAAAGAACAGAATCCAAGCAATCAGCACAAATACTACAACTGAAGTCTGGTCATCACTTGATTTTCAATCAGGTGAGACAGTTACTTGGTCTTTTGCCTGCATTGCTTGTCTGTGTGAGTATGTGCTCCCATTTGTATATGTGTGTCAGCAGTGACCCTATTGACAGAAGTAAAAATGATTAATATCTCTGGCTATTAGCATAGCCTAAATTCCATTTGTAAGCTATATGTACCTATATGGATGATATGTAGCTTAATTTCATAATAATATAGATATTATTTCTGCTTAATGTTGAGTTGTGTGAGGACAACACATACTTGAGCACATGTGGATGACAGAAGGTTGACCCTCAGGCTACTAAGGCTCAAAGAGATGAAGATTCTCTAAACTGAGCACTAACCAGAGACACTTTATTGTTGTAGAACATAGATATTAAAACATTCTGTTTATTAATATACTGATGGTTAGTAAAGCAAAACTAACCACAGAAAGCACCATTTGATTTCTGTAGCAGAACAGTGTGAATACACAGTTGCTTGACTAAGCCATGCTATTTTATGTCCCTAAGACTTCTTTCATAGTCTGTCTCTTTTCTAAAATGTTCTGTAAGATTTAGTTTAGGTCTTATTCTTGTACCAAATATTTTAATCGTAATGACAGGTTATTGAGTGAACACAATAATATAATCTAATTAGATAGTGTGATACCCCATTAAAAGCCTCAAGTATTGCACTGATTTTCTATTTTTTTTTCCTTGTACTTTAGATTCTGGGGTACATGTGCAGATCATGCTGCAGGACTGTTGCATAGGTACATAACATGGCAATGTGGTTTGCTGCCTCCATTCCCTCATCACCTGTATCTGGCATTTCTACCCATGTTGTTTCTCCCCAACCTCCCCACCTCCTGTGGTACATCCCCTAGCTCTCCCTAACAGACCCCAGTGTGTCATCCTCCCCTCCCTGTGTCCATGTGTTCTCATTGTTCAACACCCACCTACGAGTGGGAACATGCGGTGTCTGGTTTTTCTGTTCTTCTGTCAGTTTGCTGAGAATGACGGTTTCCAGATTCATCCATGTCCCTATAAAGGACACAAACTCATCGTTTTTTATTGCTGCGTAGTATTCCATGACGTATATGTGCCACATTTTCCTTGTCCAGTCTATCATCGATGGGCATTTGGGTTGGGCATTTGGTTGGTTCAGTGCCACAATGAACATACGTGTACATGTCTTTGTAATAGAACGATTTCTAATCCTTTGGGTATATACCCAGTAATGGGATTGCTGGGTCAAATGGAATTTCTGTTTCTAGGTCTTTGAGGAATCACCACACTGTCTTCCACAATGGCTGAACTAATTTGCACTTGCACCAACAGTGTAAAAGTGTTCCTATTTCTCCACATCCTCTCCAGCATGTGTTGTCTCCAGATTTTTTAATGATCATCATTCTAACTTGCATGAGATGGTAACTCAATGTGGTTTTGACTTGCATTTCTCTAATGACCTGTGATGATGAGCATTTTTTCATATGTTTGTGGGCCTCATATATGTCTTCTTTGAAAAGTGTCTGTTGAATGGGTTTGTTGGTTTCTTTCTTGTAAATCTGTTTTAGTTCTTTGTAGATTATGGATATTAGCTCTTTGTCAGATGGGTAGATTGCAAAAATTTTTTCCCATTCTGTTGGTTCCTGGTTCACTCTAAAGATTGTTTCTTTTGCTGTACAAAAGCTCTGGAGTTTAATTAGATCCCATTTGTCTATTTTGGCTTTTGTTGCCAATGCTTTTGGTGTTTGAGTCATGAAGTCCTTGCCTATGCCTATGTCCTGAATAGTTTTGCCTAGGTTTTCTTCTAGGGTTTTTATGGTTTTAAGTCTTATGTTTAATCTTTAATACATCTGGAGTTAATTTTAGTGTAAATTATCAGGAAGGGATCCAGTTTCTGCTTTCTGCACACTGCTAGCCAGTTTTTCCAACACCATTTATTAAACAGGGAATCCTTTCCCCATTGCTTGCTTTTGTCATGTTTGTCAAAGATCAGATAGTTCTCCATGTGTGGTGTTGCCTCCAGGGCCTCTGTTCTGTTCCATTGGTCTATATCTCTGTTTTGGTACCAGTACTATGCTGTTTTGATTACTGTAGCTTTGTAGTATACTTTGAAATCAGGTAGCATGATGCCTCTGGCTTTGTTCTTTTTGCTTAGGATTGTCTTGGCTATGCGGGCTTTCTTTTGGTTCCACATGAAGTTTAAGGTGGTTTTTTCCAGTTCTGTGAAGAGGGTCGTTGGTAGCTTGATGGGGATAGCATTGGATCTGTAAATTACTTTGGGCAGTATGGCCATTTTCACAATATTGATTCTTCCTAACCAAGAGCATGGAATGTTTCTGCATCTGTTTATGTCCTCTCTTATTTCCTTGAGAAGTGGTTTGTAGTTCTCCTTGAAGAGGTCCTTTACATCCTTTGTTAGTTGTATTCCTAGAGTTTTACTCTCTTTGTAGTAATTGTAAATGGGAGCTTGCTCATGATTTGGCTCTCTGTTAGCCTATTATTGGTGTGTAGAAATGCTTGTGATTTCTGCACATTTTGTACCCTGAAACTTTGCTGACGTTGCTTATCAGTTGAAGGAAATTTTGGACTGAGATGATAGGGTCTTCTAAATATACAATCATGTTATCTGCAAATAGGGACAATTTGACTTCCTCTTTTCCTAATTGAATACCCTTTATTTCCTTTTCTTGCCTAATTGCTCTGGCTAGAACTTCCAATACTATATTGAATAGGTGTGGTAAGAGAAGGCATCCTTGTCTAGGGCCAGATTTCAAAGGGAATGCTTCCAGTTTTTGCCCATTCAGTATGATATTGGCTGTAAGTTTGTCATCAATAGCTTTTATTGTTTTGAGATATGTTCCTTCAATATCTAGTTTATTGAGAGTTTTTAGCATAAAGCACTGTTGAATTTTGTTGAAGGCCTTCTCTGCATCTATTGAGATAATCAGGTCCTTTTTGTCTTTGGTTCTGTTTATATGATGGATTATGTTTATAGACTTGCGTATGTTGAACCAGCCTTGTATCCCTGGAATGAAACCTACTTGATTGTGATGGATAAGCTTTTTGATGTGCTGTTGCAATTGGTTTGCCAGTATTTTATTGAAGATTTTTGCATCTATGTTCATCATGAAAATTGGTCTAAACTTTTCTTTTTTTTTGTTGAGTCTCTGCCGTGTTTTGGTATCAGGATGATGTTGGTCTCATAAAATGATTTGGGAAGGATTCCCTCTTTTTGTATTGTTTGGAATAGTTTCAGAAGGAATTGTACCAGCTCCGTTTTGTACGTCTGGTAGAATTCAGCTGTGAACCCATTGGACCCAGACTTTTTTTGGTTGGTAGGCTATTAATTGCTGCCTCAACTTCAGCCCTTGTTACTGGTCTATTCAAGGTTTCAACTTCTTCCTGGTTTAGGCTTGGGAGGGTGCAAATGTCCAGGAATTTATCCATTTCTTCCAGGTTTACTGGTTTATGTGCATAGAGTTGTTTGTAGTAATCTGATTGTAGTCTGTATTTCTGCAGAATCAGTGGTGATATCCCCTTTATCATTTTTAATGCATCTATTTCATTCTT